CCGTGGCTTCACCCCTGCTGCTCAGCCCTCCCTACCTCAGCACACTGGCTAGTCCTACATTTGGAACAGAACTGTGGCTGGCTCTCACCCCAACTCCATGTACAGACTACACACACAGGGAAGGAGGCCTGGAAAGGGCGAGCAACTTGCTTGTGATCTTGTGACTCGGAAGGGCAGAGCTGGGCTCTGAACCCAGGAGAGCAGCCCCAGAGTCAGTGTTCTGACCACATCCCACGTACCAGTCAATGCTGACTCCCGTTGTACAGATGAGGAAACTGAGGACCAGAGTAAGCGGAGCTCAGGGATGCCCACCCAGGCATCTGTGCCCACTGACCCCCCTGCTGATCCAGAAGCAGCGCTTGTGGGAAAAACAAGGACCTGGGTCATGAGCAAACTGGAGGAAAACGAACGCTCCTTAGGATCATGTTGTTAAGGACTTGGGATGTAAAGGGACCTCTGACCCAAATGCAGGTGCCTCCACCAAGACTCCTCAGCAGTTAGCCAGGGCCTCCAACAAAGGATGAGACCATGTTGGCACAAAGGGGCGGGGGGGCAGTGTGTGACCTGAAGACCTGTAGGGGGAAAGAGGTCAGCAGTTAGCCAGGGCCTTGGACAAAGGAAGAGACCATGTTGGTACAAAGGGGCGGGCAGGCCCATGTGCGACCTGAAGGGAGAAAGAGGAAGAAAACTCCCTCCTGTCTGGAACATACAATTTCTTAGTCCCCTCAGGCAAGCATTCCCAGCTCCCAGAGAGAAGTGGTGAAAGTTAGTATCTGAGCCCCACTATATATTTTTATTTTACCATATAACTTTAAGCCTCAGTTAACTCTGCAGTAAACTGTATATAATTATTATTCCATAGCACAGATTCATTCATTTTCAGGTAATTTACTGCTGAAGAATCTCGTCAGATCTGTTAAAAATATTTACACTAGTAGACTCTCACATTTGATTAGTCAAAATTCTGAGTGAGTGGACTGGGGAGGTGGCAATCTATGGTGGTTCTCAAAGTGGGGTTCCCTAGAGCAGCAGCAACAGCATCACCTGGAAACTGGTGAGAAAGGCAAATTCTTGGGCCCCATCCTGGACATGCTGTTGCGTCAGAAATTCTCTGGGTATGGGGCTAGTAACTGTGTTTCAACAAGCCCGTTGGTTGATTCTGATGCTTGCTCAAGTTTGAGAAATACTGTCTTTGCATATGGTGCCTTGACAGTATATAATACAGGTAGTCACCGACTCATGACGTATTTTATGAGTTACAACGAACCACACTTACTACTATCTTTTATTTTTGGTTTTGCTTTATTAGTAACATGTACCACATGCAATGTTGCAGCGTGTAATTTGCAGATGTTATCATTCTCATGCCAACCCTCAAAGACAAATAAAGAGGATTTATAAAGACACCAATAATAAAAGGCAATAATAATGAAAACCAAAAAAAAAAAAAGAGGTATTCAACTTAATGTCAGAACCGACTTATGAGGGAGTTGTTGGAATGGAACCCTGTCATAAGTCAGAAACTACGTGTATATCATTCCCGTTAAAAATACATTCAAGGTACTGTGGGAACAGAGATGATGATCCACAGGAGAGTGGTCCTCTCATCTCCTGAAAAATAATATGTCCCTTTACCCACTCTGCCAACAGGTTTTCACAAGGACACCATTCATGTCTTTAATTGGCTCCATGCGCAGCCACCGCCCATCTGTTTGGGGGCCTGTGTGTTGCTATGATGCTGAACAAGTTTCAGTGGAGCTTCTAAACTAAGATGGACTGGGGACAAAGGCCTGGCAATCCACTTCCTAAAATCCGCGCATGAAAATCCTGTGGAGCACAATGATTCAATACGCAACCGATCACGGGGACAGTGCAGCACCTGGCAGCATTTTGTTTTGCTGTGCATGAGGTCGCCATGAGCCGGGGCTAACTCCGTGGCAGCTAATAATAACAATACCACTTCTGGAAAAATCTCTTTGAAAAACGGTTTAAGAAATCACAGTGATAAGGGTCACTCTGGCAGCTGTGCGGAGAACATTCTGCAGCAGGGAGCAGCATGAGCAGAAGCAGCAGCCAACCAAGAGGCTGCTAATTAGTATTTGTCCCGGTGACAGGCAGGGCTGGGCCAGGGCACTCAGGTGAAGGTGGTGAGGAAGGGATGAAGTCAGGCACGTGTCAAAGGTAAAATGTGCAGGCTTTGCAGACAGACTGTGCGTGGTATGTGAGGGACAGAGAGGTGAGAAGGATGAGCATAATGATCTTGTCATCATCTCATACATGGGAGGGATCCAGGTGTGGTCTTGTCCTCCTCCTGCGCCCACATCACACATGCTAACCGAAGGGGGCGCTCTTCACCACTGCACCCCATCTGCTTATAAACTTAGGAGTATATAATCAGTAACAAATACTAACTACAAAGATTTTAATTTCTTTTTTTTAAGTTTCAGATGAACTGGGAGATGGCTAAAATCATTCCACCTCCACGACCTGAATGAGTAAATACTTCATTTTTTAAGTAGTTGATAATTATATGGTCTTTTAAAATATGAAAGTCTATGCATTCTCATTTTCTTATAAACCGGTCATGTCCTTGATATTAAACGTATTTTTCCTTATTCAAGCTACTGGTATTAGTAACAGTTGCATATAAACAAGGTTTTCCAAACAAACATCTTATCTTTACATGGAAGGAAGTTCATGAAGAAGGAATTGACGTTCTTCCCCAACGATGACGACAATTCATTTTTGGGTTCCTTTCCCAGAAATTAGTAAATAACAAAATACCTTTCACTTAAAAAAAAAAAAAAAAGCCTGTTCATAGCAAATGCTTAAATCTAATCCATATGCCACTCAAGTACTTAAAAAAGGAGATGGTTTCAGTGAGCCAATCTCTCCACTCATTCTGTGCCAAATAAAACAGACTTCAGTAAAAAGCTTTTATGGGGCTCAGAGGGAACTCTGCTCATTCTACAGGGTACAAAGTATTATTTATTTTTCATTCAGAATTCCCAATTCTCTACTCACTGTACATTTTCCCACTTAAGCAGACTTTATCCACTGTGGATAAGCACATTAAAACCAGAAAAACACAGCGAATTCTTCTCTGAATGGAAAAAATGTAAAAAATGCTCATGCAGTTTCGCGTCTACATTCTATAGCATTAGGAAAATGCAATTCTTATTAAAGAAAAAAAGCTTAAATAATATTGATACTGGGATTCCTACTTTTCACCGCTAAAGAAGTATTTCTCCTAACTAAAAGCAAAAGACGTTCCCAGCAGGATGCTAGTGGAAAAGGACAAATGCTGTACATATAGCCTGCATGTCGAGAAAAAGTTCAGAATCTGTTAGTTAGCATTCAAACCCAAGGAAATTAAAGAGATGCACTGTAGACAATCACAAGAAAGATCTTCATGTTTAATTTTCACTATTTAATCATTAGTATGTACGTCAAAATGATGAACCATTTGTGTCTAAAAACAGTTAAAACATCTTGGAGACGTCAAAATAAGTGGCATAAGAAAATGTTTAAGAGACACAAAATAAAAATATTTTCTGGTAAAATGTGTGGTATTACAGCTTTCAGATAGATTTTTTGGGATATGGATGGAAATGTCTGTGGTCTTGGAGACTTGAGGTTTAAGAATACCCTTGGAAGGACAGCAAAAGGCAACTAATTTATAAAGACCGATAGACAGACAGACTGCTATACTGACAGACAATGATGTCAATCAGGAAATGAATTCAAATCAGGCTACCAAAGAAATCCACTAAGCATTTAACATCTAACCACAACCTGGGGCGAAGCCTCAAATTTGGCAGGTACAGACTGGATTTCTAGTTCACATTAGGGAAAAGCCACTATATGAATAAGCAGAAAAGTGTTCAAACCTGATGCTATCAAGCACTACGAAGCAGAGACAGCTCAAGTCACACCAAGGCAGAAGGAGGGATTCAGGAAATTAAACTCATGCTAGGGAATAAACGGACTTTAAATGTGCTTTATGTAAATGTTAAAGTTCATTTTGTGATATCTCTGCAGGAAGCTTGGATTCAAGTCAATCAAAGACATCTCAGCTTAATGAAGAATAATGCATCTTTATCTTTATACTACACGCTTGATCTGGTATCTTAGGATATGTATGAAGCAGGACTATTCTTTGGGGGGATATCCTGCTTTGACTTGGGAAACAGCCTCTAAAAGAGGCAAAAGCAGATCAAATCTTGGCCCCTGCTGAATGCTGTCCCTGCCACACCCTGCCCAAATATAGGTAGGTTTAGAAAAATGAAAACATTTTTTTACGTGTTACGTTCTGAGTCCTGAAAAGAGACGTTACTGTCAAAGAGTGTCCTACCCCTGGAAAGTGAGGGTCTGGTATTTCAAATAATGTTTAAAGGCACCAGCCAGGTAGATGAGGGAAATAAGCTCAAATAAAGAACACCAGAGAGAGAACTTATTGTGGAGGACAGCGGTTGTTCTCATCAACACAGAAGTTTAATCACTTTCTAAGACAGAACGCTGTTCTGAAGATCAACATAAAAAAGGAGGCTTTTAAATACAAGGCCTCACAAGATAAGTACACATAGAGTAACTTAATATGCAAAAATATTCTCAGGTGTCTGCGAATCTGAATTATCGTGGGCATCTATTTCATGTTACGCCTCATCCCTGTACAAGCTGCAGATTTCACTGCCTTTACCCAGACAATCTTCTCATTAAGTAATCATGACTATGCCCCAAATTTCAATGCTGAAAATTACATATATGTTAATCAACAAGCATAAGCCTTTTGTACTAAAAGCACAAAAACAGTTTCCTTCCAGAATTGAAGCAAAGTGGCATCTCACCTTTATTTCTAAATAAAGCTTGAACGTTCACCTTAAATACTAGAGTTGCTGACGCCACACACTTGAAGGACTATAGTGCTCGGAGGGCGCTTCTGGAGCGTCGGCTGGTTGATTTAAAGGATGAACTCATTACGAGAGCTGCCCCTTCCCTACCTTTTCCGATGCTCTATCTTGCACAGGTGTCCCTGTACTTGGCAAGGAGGGAGGAGGCGGGGCTCGGCGCTTCTTCATCTCGGACTTCACAGACACCCCTGAGATGTTGCTGAGTGAGAGGGATGGACCCAGCGTAATGGAACGTGAATTCACAGACGGGGAGTTTGGCGTTGTCAGACAGCCCTGTCACAGGGAAGAAAAAAACAAACTCTTATCAATGCAAGATTGCCACTTCTCTTTGGATTAATGCTCAAACATGAAAACAAAGTGCCAAATCACTCACCCAACATTTAATATTGCCTCTTTCTTTCGGCAGGCTTGAATAACCTGAGCAAAACCTACATTGTCACTTTCCAGGGAAAATTACAGGAGATGACATTGACAACAGGCGGATGTTGCAAGGTTTATTTTCTTAATCACGACGGAATCTGCAGACTTTTTAAGCTACTAATAACACTGAGCAGCTAGAATCATTTACCGTATTCTGGACCAAGCTGCAGTTAACAAATTAGCCTCCTTACAACTTTACCCTGTTGTAGGAGTGAGCTCTTAAAGACATTAGAAAGAGCAAGGAGGACATTTCTCATGGGGAAGGAGGACCAACAGTTTCTTCTATCTTAAGAAGTTCTTCACTTGCTTTCAGGAAGGGGCTTTTTAAGTTTCTTCTTATTTTCAGAAGTTATGAAGAAATGACTTTGTAATATAAACAACACACTATGAACACTCTACATGACCAATGAATATAGTAGTTAGTGACAGATATCTAACAATCCGAAAATAAATGCAACTCAACATATTAAGCAATTGCTCCCAAGGTGCAATTTCTATACTGGCGAGCAGGCTAAAAAGCATGTATATTTTTTTCAATCCTTTTCCCCCTAAAAAAACTAGCTGTCATCAAGCCAATTTTGACTCATGGCAACCCCATGTATGTCAGAGTGGAACTGCGCCCCGTATGGTTTTCAATGAATGATTTTTCAGAAGCAGATCACCAGGCCTTTATTCTGAGATGCCTCTGGGTGGGCTCAAATCTCCAACCTTTTGGCTAGTAGCTGAGTATGTTAACCATTTGTACCACCCAGGGTCTGGCTCAATGTTGTGTCGCTGTTATATACCATCAAGTCAATTTCAACTCATAGCGAACCTACAGAACTGCCCGACAGGGTTTCCAAGGCTGAAGTCTTTATGGGAGCAGATCACCAGGTCTTTTCTCCCACGGAGCAGCTGCTGGGTATGAACCATGGACCCTCTGGTTTGAAGCTGACCGTTTAACCATTGTGTCACCAGGGCTCCTTGTCTTAATAGAATCATATAAATGTTAGTGCAGGAAGGTTGTTTAGAGACTAGCACCCTAATTTGAAATGTTTTCAAAAAAGAGAAAAAGCCGTGCCCTGCTCCGGCACTCCTCCTTGCCCTCCCTTGGTGCTTTCCCTCCACAGCACTACAACCTGGCTGTATTCCACATACGGAGTCAATGCAGCTGAGGGGTTAAGCCCACAGACTCTGGAGACATGCTGTCTGGGCTCGATTCCTGGCTTTGTCACTTACAGGTTACATGACCCTGTTTCTTAATTTCTCTCTGCCTCAGCTTATCTCCTGTAAAACTGGGATAAATAAAAGGACCTACACCACAAAGTTATCATGCAAACCAAATGAGTTACTACGTGCAAAGAGCTTTCAATTGTTTTGGCACAAAGGAAGCACCCAAAATGTGTTACTGATGATGATGATCACATATCTGTTTATTTATTTACCATCTTTCTCCCCCCACGAGCTCTGTGAGGACAGTGATTATTGCCTGTGCTATCATATTAAGCAACAACCAGGATTACTTGTGCTCAGACGTTGATTCTGTTATGTTTGGTCAACGATACTGTCATTCTGCTTCCTGAGAAAATAGTTGGAGACCCAGATTTTCTATTACTTAAGCGTTACAGCCAAAGAACAAAACAATCCATGAAGGTTGCTTTTTATGTCAGCTCATGCTTCCTTATGAGCTGTCCAAGGCCTTGGCCATCAAATACGGAGTTCCCACAGGAAACAGGTGAGGGATCTTACAGGAAAGAGTCTGACACCCAGAAAACTCGTCAATGCCTACATACGCTCCTGTGAAAAATGTAAAGCATTCCTTCCAACCCCTGAGCGCTGCAGACAGAGTACTCTTTACCAAGCAAATACGCCAATGCAAAATGAACTCTGCTAATTAGTTTTCTCTGCCTTCCATCCACTTCCATAGCAACCATGAAGACCTAAGGAGACAGATGCAGATTTACTTAAAGATGCAAGCTCCGGATGACCAAATGAAGTAACCAACGAAAACCAGAGAGGGGGCTTTGCTAATCCAAGGTCTCAGCTGTGAAGGTGTTTCACTGGGTAGCTGGTTATCTCAAATACCCTCAAATTCAAGAAGACATGCAAGCCCCATCTTTCCTCTTTGGCAGTCATTTAGCACTGCGGTGAGAAGCACACCTGCTGAGTTGCTCAATTTCCTTACCCATAATATTTGCTGATAGTGATTCTACACACACACATACACATACACACACAACACATGGTTTGTTAAAGCTTGTGAAATGCAACGGAGAACTATATCCTTGGTGACATTATTATCTCTGAAGTATGCACGCCCCCGTTTGGCATCCTGGAATCGCGACATTCATGACAACGCATTTCACAACCCGGCATCTAATTGCTTTTCTTCTCTCCACCCTGTCTAGACAGGGAACTTTCAATTCCTCTCCTCCTCAGTCCTCACCACAACTATGTGTGGCTGACGGATCACTCAACACTGCTATGAATTTACCTCTGTCCTTTAAATGCCCTGGGCACTTCAAAAAGCTCTATGCAGAATATTCCCTTAAAAGAACTGTACATGTTCTATTTATTTCGGGTTTTAACTCTGTGATCTTCTTGCCCTTAATGAACATTCTGACATCCATGTGAGGCTTTTGAGCTGCAAACTCCTTAAGGTAAGGATTTGAACAGGGTTCTCCTGACGCAGTATCTATCCAGCATCATGCACACGTGGGTACAGAACTTATAGGAAGGTACATCTTCCTCTTTAAAACAGGGAAAATTCCATTCACTTCAAAGTTGCTATAAGCATTAGACAAGTTACGTAAAGCACCTGGCATATTTCTGCCATATTAAAGGTGTCCAGTAAGTGTGGTTTCCTTCTTACCCGTGAAGCGTTTTTGGAGAGAATGACATCATTACAGCCACAGTGAGAAAAACTCAGACAGCAGTAAGCCAGAAGCCTAAAGAGCATCCCAACCAAGTTTCCCTGCAAGGTCTGACATCTGTTAGCCCTGAACCTGATGGACTTCTTAAGAACTATTATCCTAGTTTCTGGAACTTCACTGAATTTTGATACCCGTTGTCATTAAGTCAATTCCAACTCATGATGACCCTGTGTGTGTCACAGTATAACTCCATAGGGTTTTTCAATGGTTGAATTTTTGGAAGTAGATTGCCAGGCCTTTCTTCCAAGGCACCTCTGGAGTTGAACCTCCAAACTTTTGGTTAGCAGAGGAGTGTGTTAACCACTTGCACCATACAGAGGCTCCAATTTTGACACAGCAGGACAGCAAGTGCTTTTTACACCAAATCTGCTCTACACAGCCCATGAACATCTCCCCCCCCCCCACCAACACATACTTCCAAGCAGACACATTTCATGGTTCAATAGAGCTTGGTCCACCAGACCTTCTTGTTCACTGAGCTACACAACAGTATTTCTCAACTTTCAACCCATGTACAGCCAAAATGTTTACTGTCCAGAGAATATTTGTGGCTTAACTCCTATCTCTCATCTTTCCCCACTCCTGGAATATGTCTACAGAATTTAGAAAACAATCCACAGAATAATTTCAGTGAACAACACTGTTAAGTATTGGTTGTCCTTTAAAACACAGATTCATATCAACATGAAATAAAATGGAAAACCGAGAGTTTAGTCCATACAGCCCAGAGTGCAAACAGATTGGTCCATGTCCTATTTTCCCAGTTTCCTTGGATTCCTTCCTGCTACAAAGTGGCATTCAAAGTTCCATGAGGGAGAGACCACTGCTTGCCTGAAAGAGGGACTTGGTTTTCTGCTCCCTATCCACACTGGTCAATAATACTTTTCAAAAATTTCAAGTCCTTTTCTTGTAGGGAATTAATGCCTTTCTCTAAAGGCTGGCACTAAGACCCACAGATTTTGGCTATCACAGTCCTACCAGTTTTTCTTCGGAGTTTTTCTCCTGGGAGTGAAGCTTTTACAGGAAGTGTCTCCAGATAAATCCTTAAGAAAAGCAGTAGAGAACAGAGAGAAAAAGGAACAATGCAAACACAACCTTCCCACCTGAGGCGTCAACCTCCACCAGAGAAGCTGCTGTCAGCTGGAGTGAAAATCAAATCTGAAGCCACCCTGCCCAAGGCAATGTTAAACTCCATGTATCTACAACCCTGCTAGTAGCCAATCAATCTGTTTATTACACTCAGTATAAAATGTCAATAATTTGATCACATCAGGCACACATCTCAGAGGGGGAAGTAGGAAGAAAAGAAAACTAACAATTCCAGAATCTGAGTGTCAGCCTAAAATGAGACCAGTATCATCTGTCGAAGGAGCCCTGGTGGTGAAAGGGATAAGAAGACATGGCATGAGGGATATCATTGCTGACGTCAGATGGATCCTGGCTGAAAGAGAATACCAGAAAGATGTTTACCTGTGTTTTATGGACTATGTAAAGGCATTCGACTGTGTGGATCATTACAAATTGTGTATAACATTGCAAAGAATGGGAATTCCAGAACATTTAATTGTGCTCATGAGGAACCTGTACATAGACCAAGAGGTAGTCGTTCAAACATAACAAGGGGATAGTGCATGGTTTAAGTCAGGAAGGTGTATCCTTCACCATACATATTCAGTCTGTATGCTGAGCAAATAATCCGAGAAACTGGAGTATATGAAGAAGTACGGGGCATCAAGACTGGTGGAAGACTCATTAACAACCTGTGATATGCAGATGATACAACCTTGCTTGCTGAAAGCGAAGAAGAGTTGAAGCACTTACCGATGAAGATCAAAGACCACAGCCTTCAGTGTGGATTCCACCGCAACATAAAGAAAACAAAAATCCTCACAACTAGACCAATAAGCAACATCATGATAAATGGAGAAAAGACTGAAGTTG